TTTTTTTTTTTTTTTCAATAGTTGTTTACGATAACGAACAACATTTGTAGTTTTGTATTATCATGGAAAGCAACAAAACTATAACATTGAACCAAATCAACCTTCTGTGCTAAAAGTTGTAGAGATTTTTACACGACTATAACAACCGGTGGTAACCTTTAAAGTAGTAATTGTTGGTAGGCATTAAGGTTATTTGGATTCAGAAGAAGATTGACTGTCAAATGTAGAAGATAAGTGCACTGAATAAGTAGCAAATAGGTTTGCATTGTAAAGGTTATTCTAAAGCGATAGTTACGGAGTGCCGGATTATTTACATTGACATTTTTATAGAAATACCTCTTAAAAATTTGTTTTCTTCTGATAGCGTGTGTTGAGGACCTTATGTGAAAATTTTTGATGAAAAATCAATTCTACTGATTTTTGAATACTACTCTTCTGTTATAGGATATTGGTAGTGTTGGGAGGAAATTTGCAACGATATTTAAAAGTAGTTGAATGTTGAGAACTGGAATTTCTTAAGGACAATAGTTTTTTCATTCTCGAAAATTTCTAAATCAAAGAAAATTTGGCTTTATTTATTTGTTTTTTTCTTTTAAGTTAACAATTAACCTTGATTGATAAAGACAGGAATAATTGTGAAAAATTTTTGACTTGAACTGTTTATTGTATGGTTACGATTCATCTGATCATCTGATCTGAGATTAAGCTTTTTCAAACTGCAAATCCGCTTACGAATCAATGCGCATAACATATTTTTGAAAGGCAAAAAAAGGTCTTGGAAACGGTCTTTTTACGGAGAACGGAGGGAGGGAGGAATTTTTTCGTTCAAAGGATTCCAAACAGTTATTGCATTGGGGATTGTCATGTTGGAGAGGTGCCGTATAGCTATAGTAACTGTTTCATTTGGTGACGAAAGTTTGCATCTTAATTCATTTCATTCATCTTTGATTATATTCTGAAAAAAAATTTTTATTTTATTTTTTAGCATTTTACGCATTTTTAGCATTATTGGCAGCTTTGTTTTCTGTTGTATACTTTCAGTTTTTACCTTATTTTTGGAATATCTAAAGAACGATGAAGCTTTTTTTTCTATTGTCATTAAACTTTACAAATTCTCAGATTACCCGTAGTTTTGTTGTTTTCTTTCAAAATAAATTAAAAACTTATCTTGTTTTACCACTTTAGCTTAGTTACTGACTGTTAGGCTCAAGAACGGTATCTGTTGAATTTTTGCAGTTTTATGCTTTTTGTTTTCAGTTACTGGCCTCATTATTTACTGCTTAAATCTTTAAGTGTAAAATCTTGTTCCTTCACTGGTTTCGTTATCGTTTCTTTTATTGTTTTAGTGTATTAATAAATTCAAGCATATGAGCATATAATTGCAGATATAAACGTTTTGGATTCTTCTTTTAGCATAAGAAATAGCTCCTAATACTTTTCCTTTTATGATTTTTACCTTGTTGATGACAGGTCTATTGTTAATATATATTTCAAGTAAGAAGCAAAAATTTTTTCTTCTTGTTACGGAACAATTTTTGTTGAAGACCTTTTGTAGAGTTCGCATGAGCTTTTTTTATCCTTGGATTCCACCTGGAATTTTAGTTCTTAGAAGAATTGCTATACAGATCTAGAACGAATATATCAGAATTTGTCATTTAGGGTGTTATACACTGTTCTACTGACTTTGAAAATTTTTGAATTTCTTATTGAAAGTCATAGCAAAAAGGAATTTTGGTGATTGGAAATACATTTAGATGTTTTTTTAGAATATCTTAGTTTTTTTTGTTATAATGACGTATCAAATTTGAGATTTTGCTTCAATCTGAATAATGATATGTTTGGATGTTGGCATCTAAGGCTGTAATACTGTTGTTAAGAGCTGAGAATGGGCCATTGATCTAGTGTGAAATCATAGTGTTTATATTCTGTTACCTGAGGTGGGAAAAAAGAATGAAATTTCTTCTATGCTTTTCTCAACGCACAAGTTCGACGATTTACGCTTTTAAAGAGCCGGTGTGTACTGGTTGAAATTTTGAGGTATATCATGGGAAAAGGGCAAAAAAAGAAAGGTGGCGTGGAGCAGAAGTCCAAAAATGAAGCCTCAACCTCGACGAAGGGTTCAAAAAATAAAAATCAGCAAACGTTGTCGAAACTCTGGATTTTTTTGATAGTATTTCTTGGTAAGCAGCAAAATTCTTCATTTTGTTAGATGCTTGATTTTTTCTCTGATAAGGAATTTGGTCACTTCGATAACTAGTCGTTGGATTTCTTTCTTTATGTTTTTGAAGTTCTTGGTTCAAATGGTTGTTAGGTGATGCCATGGGAACTTCACCAGTACCAAATATTAGTCTTCTTGATTGGCTTTTCACCGATTGATTGTAACACCTAAACGTAGCCAACTAAAAGATAACACAATGATAGTTCTTGTCTTCGTCATCATACCTAATGATCACAAAGTGTCCTTTGTAACTATGGATTTTTAATCTGAACCAGTCTTTGTATCGCATGCAAATAACTGTAGAATGGTTAAAGTTCTGCTAAATAATTTAATTTACCTATGGCTTAAAATGAAGCAACTTACATGTGTCCTTATTAACAGCAATACTGTTTGTTTTGGCAACGATATGTTCTCGATAACTTATATGTTAAGGTTGGTCTACAGTAGCTCTGGAAGGCATTTTTTTTTACTTATATTCACATCTATTAAATAGCATTTATTTACTGATCAGTATATCTGAGGTAAAAAATTTCACGTGCATTATGCCTAGCCTTCTTTGTAATCATGAACATCATTTAATAGCATCTTTTCGTTGAAAATGTTTAAAACAACTATTCACATATACTATGGATCAATACTTTGATTTTTCTCTCACAGTTTGAAAAGATAAACTTATGGATTTTGTCCTTTATTTTCATTTTTTCGCCTAAAATCTTATTGGAGATCTGTAGAGGAAGATTAGTTTTGCTGAATGCAATTGTTTTTTAGTCGAAAATGTTAATAAGTTTTTTTATTTTTCAATTTTTTTAACATTTTTTAAAATAATCATTTAAGTATCAGGCGTTTGCCTCTTGTCTGGTTCGCTGTGGTGTACCACTTGTCTATTTTCCGGTATGAAAAGTTAGCGCCTCCATTCCTTCAGTTTACTAGCAATTTCCCTAAAGTACCTGTCCATTAGTCGAATCTGTTTAAAGTCCGGACTAATTTGAAAAAACTTTTGAATATTGTAGCTTCTGAAGTTCAGAGACCATAGTTATTTCAAATTACTGCATTTGGAAATTACTAAGACGGATTAGTTTCATACTTCCTATCAACCTCCTCTTACCTGACTCACTACCATATTCTAGTTAATTTTAAATGTAAAAATTACTCGGAAGCTTCTTTCATTCGTAAAGGATTGTAACATTTTGCAAACGTTCTATTCATTCGCTGAAAAAATTCCTCGATTTCCTAAAAAATTTAGAAATTTTATCTTTCTGTTACTGTTTTTGGAAAATTATGGTTTATCTATCAAGAGAGGACTTCAATAACACCATAGGTTAAGAAGTTTGAGGTAGTTGAGGAACACAGTTTCCAAACTAATTTGGAGAAGTTCTTGTTTGGAAGTACTTAGCGATTCAAGCGGACCATTTTCAGTTTATTCAGTTTATTCCGAAAGTAAGAGAGTTCTTTACAGTTAGAATTACAGTTTGAACAAAGGCAAAGAACTTACTTGTTGTTCCTCTAAACTCCTTCTCTCGATCATGCCACGGTAATAATCCTTGATTGCATCTTTAAGTTCTAGTCGTCTTAAATCTTCCATAGCCCTGGAATCTTCTGGCCATGTTCAGTTACGCTCTAATTCTTAACAATTCAAGGTATTACCTGAGCTGAGCTTCTGAGAGACCTTCTACGATTTCTCGTAACGATTGTGGGACAGTATTCTGAGCTGTCCAGCTGTCGTATTCGCTTTGAAAATTTGGGTATTTAAGGAGTTTTTCTTCCATGAGTTTGGAGATTTCTGTCAGATTACCTTCTCGAGCTGCTCGTTTTAAGCGAAATTTTTGTTCATAATCCAGGTTGTTAACAATCATCCGGATGCATTTTGGTTTATTTGCTCGACATCCATCATCTTCTTCTTTACGTCTACAGAAAATAGCGCTTTATTGAGTAAACTGATGAGCATTCGGATAATTTTTAATGTAGTGTCGACTATACTTATTAATTGTTTTCCACTTAGAAGCGGTTACCTGAACAAGCTTTTAATGAGTACCCATATTTTGGCGATCAAACTTTGTCTTGCATTTTCCTCTGCTTGTTTCTCGCTGTAGTATTCAAGGATAGCATTTTGGTCGATCTCTGGAAGGACGTTTTCAACTTTCCAGTTCCATAATGCATAGATAATGTTATAGATAGTTGCGTTCTAAAAACAAATGTACTTTATTTTTTTCCTGTTTATTGGTTGTTTTTTTCTTTCTAGTAACGTAGAAAAAACATCTGCACTTAAATTATATTTAGATGATCAAATTAATTGCAAAATGCTTAGTGTTAAACACTAAAATCGCAACAATTTTTGCTGTTCGATAAATGTTCAAAGCACTTTTGACTTCGGTAGCTTTGAAAACCGTATATAACAATAATTTATCACCTTATAAGCTGATAATATTTCTAGATCTGTTGGCTTTAAGTGTAAGATATCGTCGGTCACAGTTTCGTTGTCTTGTCCACTTGTCACCTTTTCGACATTTTCATTTATACTTTTTTCCACTTCCGGAATCTAAACAGTGCACCTAATGAGAGAAATGTTTGACTAATAGGTGAAGGAAAAAAAACGAAAATTTTTCCTGTTTTGTTTTTATTGCCATCCGTATCAGCGATTCTCATTGTGCTTAGGTTTTTGAGGCAGATATGACAAGGTTTTTGCTAATACCAAATTTATGGGTGAAAATTTGTGACCACTTGCCTGTGATTCAATGTCATCGATAATTTTTTTTAGTTCGGCATATTTTTTTTCACGTAAATAATCTTGCAGATATTTTTCAATATCCGAGTAGTTACTTAATATATAAAGTAAAGTTAGATCGGAATCTTGAAGCTCTGATTGGACAATATCGTGTGATCGATTATAGCTTGCTGAAAAACAAAAATTATGAATGCTTGTCGCTTTTTTTACTTTTGTATAATTTTCTTTATTTTTAATCTTTCGAAAACTGTTCATAAAAATTTAATTTGA